ATGTATCCCTATATATCCCTACATATCCCTACATATCCCTATATAGCCATATACATATATGCATATAGAACCCTTATATCCCCCTTTTAAAAGCATCATCTCAAGCTTGGGGGTTTAGGGTTTAGGCCAAATCCATGTAGGATGTTTAGTATGGACAATAAGGACTTTCAAAAGGACTCCTAAACCCAAAACCGCGGGGGATGTATCAGGTGGTGTAGGCGAGCGACGCTGGACCTGGCATATGAAACTTGGACTGAATGTTGGGTTTTGGGTATAAGTGTAAAGTTTTGGGGTTTAGGGCAGCGTTTAAGGCCAGGAGTCTGGGTCTTTTAAAAACCGCATTAACCTGAGAGAATGCAGGCGTCAGAATGGATGTTTTTCATAAGCAGATACCTCAGTGTGGATGGAGGACATCTTGTAGCAACTAGGATCTAGGGCGACGAAACTTGGGCAATTCCGAGGATTTACGGTGTTTGCCCATGAATACTAGGAAAAGAGGTTTCTGGGCAGGAGTTCATATACACCCATTTTCAGAAAATTTTGGTGGGGGTGGGGGCCCCTAAGATGAGGATTACAGTCAATTGGTGTCTATATTGGGGTCCCCCCATTTGGGGAGACTACCATCTAACATACCCTACATGTAGACTCGTGAATTTTTGGTTTTCCAAAAGAACGCGCTGTTCCTGCACGGCGGGATGTCAAAACTGAGGTCTCATTTTGCATCTACCCCCAAATCCTCTGCAGGATATCCCTACAAAGGAACCTCTGAATCCTAAGCCGCTAGCCTGTAAGCAAAGCTTCCATTGCCTTTTCCATGTGATTTTTGCTTGGTGGTAGTTGTTTAACCCTAAAACCCTAAACCCTAATTTAGCTCATCCTCCACAACCCCAGCCTTTAGGAGGATACCTCCAAAAATGAGGGTTTGGGGTTTAGGGTTTAGGGCAAGCTATGAATCCAGTGCCCATTTCCTGTGTTCATTTGATTTTCCCTTGTTGGGAATGTTGTAGCTCATCCTCCTCAAGCCCTACAGGGGCCCCTAAGTTTGAACTCCGGTTGAAGGTAACTTACTGTGGGTATGACTCTAGTTATGGGTCCGATAGACTATGGTTATCGGACTATATTTATAGTTCTGTAACCAGGGGAACCACCACCACCACCCGCCCTGTAGCCCTCAGGAGGATATCATGCGGCGCGGGAGCGAAGTTCTCCGAGAACTGGCGCAGCACTTGAACCTTCAGCTGGGTGATGAGAGCCTAGCGAAGGCGTCTTTCACGGAATGGTTTAGTTCAGGGTGAGGGGTTTGGAGGTTAAAGGCTTTCGTTCACATGTGTAAGGTTTGTCCCTGAGGTGTGGATGTGTTCCGGGCTGAGGGGTGCGCCTACAGGGATGGTACGGTGGATGGAGGAACTTTCGAACCTACTGGAACCCCGATAATGCTGTTATCCGTAGGTTATGAGGTTTATGAAGTGGTGCATGGTTTCCTCCATGTTAGTATAGAGGCCTCGGGCTAAGTCACGACCAATGCGTCAGGAGTCCTTCTTGGGGTGTTGTGTTGAACTCGCGACACAGAACAGACCTTTGAATGCACCGCCAAGCTTGCAGAGGCTTCCACAGCATCCTCACCCTAAACCCCAAACCCTAAACCCTGAACCCAATACCCAAAAAAACCTTCAATCCTAAGCCTTAAAACCCCAAGACCCTACAAATTAAGGCTAACCCTGAACTCCCAGACCCTGAGCCCTTTTCCGGGACATGTTGGAAGATACTTTGGCTTGCTTGGCAAGCGTCATCCCTTGCCCCGAATCACGCCCCAAGACTTCTCTCCATCTTCTACCTATGAGACTATAACTCATATATTGATGCCAAGTATACTACAACTGCACACCACCTCCCCGCGAAAGAAATGCACCTGGCTAAGATTTCCCAACCCTCAACCCTACCCCAGCCGGATAGGGGTTTAGGGTCTATGGTTTTGGGTTTCAGGAGGTATTGGGGGGAGGGGGTACGATATGTGTATACTTCAAAAAAATCATGAACAGACGCTTCTGGAATGATGGGTTTGTGATTAGGTCATGGGCAGAGGGGGGCTTCCGGATGCATTACGAGCCCAGCCCGAACC